CCCTTACAGAGACAGCTCTGTGCACCACTTTACCTCTGGGAGAAGTTGCACAGCCAGACTGGAGCATGCAGAACACACCCAGCTCAAGCCCAGATGTGTGGCATGTAATGACAGCAGACTGATGCTTCTCTGGGCTGACACAGCCCAATTCTGGGTTCCTGCTGGCTTGCTCCCACTAAAGATAGCCATAAGCTGAATGTCACTGGCATTTGGACATCTCAAAACATGGAGAGATCTTTGCTGCTTTCTATCAACATAAATCAAACTCTGGCCGGTATCATTTTTATGTACTCCAGCTGAAGAGAGAGCTGACCTGGTTAGACCTCAGGCAATAAGAATCTATTCCTGTGGCAATGAGAGTTATTTTTCTGTGTGTTGAAAGAAACACATACTATGAGCAAACAAAATGTCATAAGTAATGTATAAAAATCTGCTTCTGCAAGGATCCTAATAAAATTGGCACTAGTTATTTGGTCTTGGTTTTAGTGCTTCAACATTTTAGCACTCTAGCAGTAATGGAATTACTTTTGATTATGGAAATTCTGGAGTGCAAATGTCAAATATTTCATTGGTTTGGATATTCAGCAGATACAGAGGCTACAATTGTTTTAGACAATTTTGACAAAAAACTGTGCAAGGAAATTGGTCTGTAAATTGCCAGAATAAAATTTCACAAACTTTCTCAACTGTAAACAATCTCTCTTCATTCCAAATATGAAAAAACACCACAGTGATGTGTTTTACCAAATATCAAAAATACGAAACAGCGGTCCCTCACTCTCACGCGCAGTGATAGCTGTACTTTTACTTGCATTCCAGCATTTTGCTTTTATTTAAATTTAGTGCAATGTGACTGTCAGCCTGTTCTAGAGCTATCTTTCCTTTTTTCCTTCCAAGATAAAAAGTTCACAGCAATTGAAAGACAAGAGAACTGGCACATGAGCCTTTGCATGATCAACATCCAAACTATGGCTAGAACAAGTCTGTAGCTCTGTAGTCTGAGTAATTCTGGCATACCAAAAAGACAACCAGGTGTTTTGCTGCTTTCAGAATCCCCCTCAGTCTCACAATTAATCAAAAAATAGGAAAGGAAAAACAAAGACCAACCTCACTTGCCAGGGACAAGTCTAGATAACTAAATACTTTCAAATTATGATGCTAATTACCCAGATTAAGAAAAGGCTCATCTGCAGATTTAACAAAATTTTTAGCAAATAGCTTCACCATTTGTTCAGGATCATTTACAAACTCATTACCCAGATCCAAGGATAATGTCTTCACTCTGGGCACAGCTCCAAAATGGTCATTAACAACAATATGAAATTGTTGTGCAGAAAAACATTTATCATTAAAATATGTTATAATACTCAACTCTTACTTTTCAAATGCACATTTTGTATGGAACCCAAATGGTACTTACTTCAGACAAATGATCTTCCACATATGGTGCCTGTGTCACATGCAGTTCTCCTCAATGATGCATGCAATTTTTTTTTTTTGAGACATTTTTAAATTAAATTGCTGCCCTTTGTATTGTGTGTGAGTTCAGGCTATGAGAAAGCTGCCGATCAAAAGAGAATGCCACACATGCCACCACACATGCAAGGACCAATACTTCCAGGATCTCCAAGACTTGCCAAAGAGCACAGATTTTGTAGGTTAGGCTCTGGGAATGAGCCAGGTGAGCGTAATGGTCCGTTATGAAGTGGAATCAAAGTGAACAAGGACTGAGCCCATTACCTTGGGTTGAAATTACTCGAGCACAGCCTGCACAATTAATTCTAAAGTGCACACGGGGAGATTAAACACTGACATCTTTCTCTTTTGGATTACTGCTGAATTTCAACACATTTTGCAGAGTAAAAGTGAGTGAGACCCATTATAAACAAACTTCCTTTATATTCAAGAGGAGACTGTAGCAAGAAAAAAAATAAACAACGCACATGTGGTTGGTAAGTGCTTAAAGTCACACCGTGCCACAGCAACTGCAAAGCACTCACTTGGGTACCTTATTTCAGCATTTGAAGAATAAATTGTAATAGTTCCATATAAACAAGCCATATTAAGGCAATATGTAAACGTTTCTAAAGAAGGATGATTTGTTTAGATCCTTTAGTCCTTCTCTGAGTCTGAATCTGGCTGCAACATGGGTTCGCTTTGTGACAGGCAGCCTGTTGTGGTAGTACGCTGCTGTTATATTGTTATTGTTGGATGAAAAAACAGGCCTCATAATTTATGTCCTGAACTAGGGTAACAAAGAAGCCCCTAAAATAAAGCATTTCTGTGAAATTAGTTTCCCTAGAATGTGGTTTCCTAAAGTTCCCTAAAAATAAAAGAATATGAAAATATACTTGAAACTTTTTCTGAGAAGATCAGTGGTTTTCTGCGGAAAGGCAAAGTAACCGTGTTTGGCAAATTTCACTATAGATTTAAATGAAACTTGAAAAATATGAAAGAGTGTATAAAAAGCTAAAGCTTGTGAAGGCCTGTGATTGGGCAACACACTATTATGTTTCCTAGCATAATATTATGCTATTATGTATTATGTAGTGCACTGCACCCTAAATATGTATGTATTCAGCTGAACATATAAATAAAGTGTTTGCTCCATAATATCAATTATCTACTGATGTTTGTTAAGCGTGCTTGATCAACTACCCCATCTCCATGATCCATCAACAATCTGTCTTCCCCTTTGTTAATCCCAGGATTGCTAAGGGTGGTGATGGTGTCTAACAGCTACACCCTCCTCTGGTAGACAGACATGGATCAGTGGGAAGGAAAGAAGAATGCTCACTTTAGAAACTAAACCATAAAATACTTGGGTTTAAAGGAAAGATTTGACATGTGAAACAGTTTATGAGTTTCCTGCATTTCTTTACTAACACTAGATTTTTATAGCAGTGTTAGCAAGCTCATCAGCCATTTAAATTAACGTAATTTTACCTATACTTTCTTGCACATTCCTAACATATGTATAAGAAATCTAGTGTGGAATACAACTTACATGATTAAAAGCCAATATGGAAGCTTACTCTAGAAGTATGAAGTGTCCCACTGTGTTCACAAATTAATAAATATTTTCAAGTCACAAGAATGAAGGTAGACCCCAGGCCTACTGAATCAATTATAAGCTCTATATGAATTCAAAATACTAATAATTTTTCTTTCAATTAATAAGGAACATATTTTCCTCAGATGCAGCAATTCACTCATCAGGCTCTGCAGCTTTGGTTGCTACCCTTCAGTTCATTAAGGTTACTGTATAAAAAATTAGGAAAGTGTTATCTTTTACAGCTTTTGAGGAATTTTCTAAATTCCTGCACAGTCCTGCTCCTTGCACATCATCTGATGACACAGGTTTAAGGTGATATTCTTCTTTCCCCATCTTTTTTCAAAGTATTCCTTCTGCACTGTGTTTTCAAACAGAGGTACCCTCCCATGGAGAAATGGGGCTTCATTTACTGCTTTCATACAGTCAATGAAAAGTCATGGAAAGGTTTCTTCTTGGAAACATACTCATGGGCTTTGGATCAGAGTTTCGATGGCTTTCAGTTTTGAAAAGAGAATTTTATTGATTCTGTAAAATAAAAATTGTAAATTAACTTAGGAGCCTCACACCACCAAGTATGAGTGTGTCTCATACACACTGCAGTCCTAATCCAACACAGCACTACAGGGACCCAGTAATTACCTGATGACTGTATTCAGATTTAAGTGTTTTACTCATGATATTCCAGTCAACTGCTACAGTGTAAACTAAAAGCTGAGTCAAGTCTCTTTGATATCTGAGCCCTGCTTTAAAGCAGCAAATGGCTACTGCAGCTGGTATTCCAATATTTTCATCAGTCCCAAACTAAAGGTACTGCCTCCAAGTCAGTAAAACATGCTCAAGCTGATGTCAAACAATCAGACCAACTGAAGGAATTCAGATTTCTGAACCTGTTAATTCATTTTTGCTCTAGAATGACTATTTTTGGTGGATTTAATCCTCCATTCCTTGCTGATATGAGATCATACTTGATAGGTTTCCAATGCTTTTTGACCTGGTGTTAAATTAATGCTGTTACCCTGAGCCATGACCTTTCTGGTACACTGTGGCCCTAATGGAGCTACAGACCCTCTGGAAAGACCACGTAGTACAATAATTTCTTTGGGTATCCCTACATTCAGCAGTCTGTGGTACCTCTAACTGCAAAGGCAAAATTATGAGCACCTTCTCACTGCATCAGGAGGGACTCTCTGGTGCCTCCACTACTTCATTCCGCCCCGGAACGAACTGGGGCACATTGCACCTGCCGTGCCTCATCAGCACTGATGTTAACACTCAAAGCTGGATCATAAACATTTATCACCGTCTTCAATTGCCTAAAAACTGGTAGCTTTGCAGAAAAACAAACCATGCTTTTCATGAAAACAGGAGCCTGGAAACGATCTCTTATTCCTGGCAACATCCAGAACTAGAAAAATAAAAGATGACTGGCCTGTATATCCCTAATCCCACAAATATTTACACACACTCTCCAGTGCCTGTAGTGCACGCAGTCCCATTGAATCCAACAGGACTACTCGTGGCCCTTCATTCAGCACCAGGGTGAATTCGCACATCCTGCAGCCTGTTCCCAGCAGTCAGCTACGCGCCCCCGCTCCAGGATCCCTCCATCGGCGTGAGGCACGCTGCTGTGGGGAGCCCGGAGAGATCACTCTCACGAGGAATCCCCCGGGTGCCTGCACGGGCGTGGGGAGCGCAGAGCCAGGACGGCTCTCCTGCCGGGAACACCACATCCCGCTGGAGCTCCCCCGCTCACTGACGGGTGCCTCGTAACTCCCGTCCCGGGCTGCTCCCCGCCGACAGCCCGGGCTGCCCACCCGCAGCCCGGGAACCCCGCGGTCCCGCAGGACGCGGCGGGACGGGGTGTGACACCCACGGGGCGCGACACCCCCAGCCCCATCCTCCGGCGGGACCCCGAGCCCGCCCCCGCCGCCCGGCCCCGGCCGCGAGCGAGGGCGAGCGGCAGCGGCCGGGGCTGCGCAGCAGGGCCCGCGGCGGGTCATGGCCCGGCTGTAGGCAGGGAGCGCTCCGCCGCCCGCCGCTCCCGGCGGCAGCCCCGCCGCGCCCCGACCGTCCTATGAGAGCCGCCCCGGCGCCAAGATGAAAGGTAGGGACGGACGGGAGCGGGGCGCCCCGCCGCCCGCACACGTGCACCGGGCACCGCGGGCAGGGAACGCTGTGCGGGCACGGGCAGCGCCCACAGTCCCTGCAAGCGGACATTGCGGGCAGGGCGCTCTGGGGACGGTGCCCGCGGGATGAGCCGAAGCCAGCCGCAGGGTGCTGGCGGGACACGGCGCGGGCAGGTGGCGGGCAGGGCACGGGCAGCCGGTGCCGGGAGAGGCAGAGCGGGGCTGTCACCGCCACCCCGGAGTGCGGGGTGTGCGCCGCGGCTCGGCGTGTGTGGGTCAGTCCCGGTCCGGCAGCGGGCTGTCCCTGGGAGAGTGTGAGCGTGTCGCGGCATGTGTGCTCTCCCCCCAGCACGGTTTCTCTCGGCACCCAACTTTTATCTTCCCCCTAGCCGGTGCCCCGAGAAGAAGAGTTGTGTTTCTCCCTGGTTGATTTGTTTATTTTTTGCCAGCGTTTCGCGATGTTCTTGGTGTTGCTTCTAAACATCTGGCAGTGATTAGGTGCCAGTAGAAGCTTAACTGGCTTGTGAAATGTATTTGGCGTATTTCTCCTCTGCATCCACCGACTGGAAAATTTTTGGTCTTTACTTTGCATCCGTTCAAACTTAAACTTTGTTTCTTTTCCTTTTTCTCTCTTTTCCTCCCTTCCTCCTCTTTTTGTTTTAAATGGGTGGAACATTTGACCCTGTCCTACATAGCTGTGACTGAGAGGTATCACATACTTTAAAATGAAATAAAGAAGCAGATTGCCAAATTGCTCCTCTGTAACCTAGTAAAGATATATCTGGGGTGCAAGAAAGCCTTCTGTTTATGAAAATTGATAGCCTTACAGCAAAAGGCAGAGGCTTTACACACTGGGGAATACTTACAATGAAAACATCAAAGGACATTATGGAAAGTTTAGGAGTTAGTTGGGACATTGTGAGAGTTGAATTCAGTTTTTCTTCAGAGGCAAAAATAAGCTTAAGGAAAAGACATATATGAAAATTGCTTTTGGGCACCACTGTGCCTGTTCTTGGACTGCAGGGTTTTATTCCAGATGCCAGGAGGCCAGTAAACATCATGATAGTTACACTGAGTTTCCAGAGTCTAGGACACCGAATGATGTGATCATTTATTCATTTGCCAGAGTAGCTGCCTGAAGGGAGGGGAAACTTTTGTGGGGGCATTTATTTTGCAAGCTCACACACTGTTTAAGTTACTTCTGACACTGTGGCATGATGCCTCTCCAGGGCCATGCAACATATGACAAATAATGTATTTACAATGTTCTTTATTTATAGGTTGCTCATGCCAAAAAATTTGTCATCAGCTTATCATTATCAGCATAAGTGTAAGGGCAGGAACAAACCACAACAATGGGGATCTGGTAGTAGGTAGAACAAACCTGTTACCACTGAAAGCCTTACACTCCATTCTTGGGGGTTTTGGGGAGAGGTGGGATGCAAAGGACCAGGGATGGGAATAACATATAATGCAACTTGTGTCTCCTTCCATCCTGCATTTCGCTTCCACCGCTCTTTGCAAAGCAGAGCATTCAAAGGGAGGATGTAATTCCTGCTCCTGGGAGCACTCACTCGTGCCCCACACCCCATCAAGAGGGAGTGCTAGTCCTTACCATTTGGCTTCCCTAAGAGTGATCACAGCCATTTTATTTCTTTTCCCCAGAGAGTTACAGAAATCAGTAATAAAACATGCAAAGAAGAACACTTGAATGACTGTGCTAATAGCAAAAGAAAAGCATCAAACAAATCATCACATGAAGTACTTCTGCCAGTGTTAGAGAAGTCAGAGAGTCAAACCAAACTTTGACTTGGTGATTTCCTTTTCTGGGTATGGATTTGGCTTTTTATGTTTTCTCTTTAAACTTGATGGTAGTGATAATTGTAGGACTGTAGAACTTTGTATAGTTACACATATTTCTCAATAAAAACAAAAAGATCTGTTGATTGCAGCTGTCTCTCTGTATCTACCCTCTCTAGAGAATGGAGGAATATCTAAATAATTACATCACTAAATATCTGTAAGGAATAAATTATATTTTCCATTGCTGGTGTTTGTAATGTGTTATGTTTTAAATCAGTAAAACAAATTGAAGTTTATGTTCAATATGCTGGCAGGTTTTTTTCCAGCAAACAACACTGAGCTCACAAACTTTGTCATATTTTTTAGCAATAATTCATGTGATTTATATAGAGATTTGTCTGCTTTAGGGTCAGATATATCTTTATCAAATGATACTTCTAAGTTATAGTTATTTATTGGGGCATGAAGGAGTACTCGTTGTCTGGGAAACCAATGAAAACAACTTCCTCATAGTCAAGCACCACCACATGTTCAAAAACATTGGCCCTAATTTAAGACAGGGACAAGCATTGTTAAAACTGAGAGCTTCTTCCCATGTAGCTGCAATATATTTTGTAATTGCTACTTTAAACTGTATCTGCAATCACTACTGTCATGGCAGTGCTGGTGATAAGTATTTTCCTCTGAAATAAGGATACTGTTTGGATAACCACTTAATACTAATGCCCAGAATCAGGCAATGATAAAGTCAAGGTGGTCATTTTGGGACTGTTGCTCCAGGATGACAGAGAAGCTCTTAATTAAAGATACTTAAAGTAGCTTAGCTGCTTCTTTTCATTCCTCTTCCTCCTTCTCCTCCCTCTCTGCCATCACAAGCACCTTGCTGTGTACCATTTGTGTAGCAATGGTGCTGGAGGACAAATCATCTGGGATCCTGTGCTTGAGTGCTGGGGTGCGCTTGAGAGCTGGAACAAGACCAAATATTTTCTGTCTCGTGCCGTTCCTCTCCTTTGATACCAAAGGATGCACGGAGGAGAAACAGGTTGTGTCCCACCAGAGCAGTGAAGCCCGCAGTGCCTCGGGATCAGCCTGACCTGCACGCCTGCCTTGTTCAGCCTTGGCCCCTCTTCCTCAGAGGCGCTCGGCGCGCTCCGTGCACCGTGCGAGAGCACGCCGAGCTCTCACTGGACACGCCAGTTCAGTTCAGCCCAACTTTGCCTTACACACTGAACACTTTAGCAGACAATTAACTAACATATCAGCCTGTATTGCTAAAATTGTCCCTTCTGAGGGACTTAGAGCCTGGATGTAATTTGCAAATAATGCCTGCAATAGCAAAAGCTGACTGTGTATGCAAGTTCACTTGTTCTTTCTTGACTACCTTGAAAAATTTTAAATAATCTATTTATATGATGGTTACCTTCTTGGCAGGTTTTGTCTTTCTCTCAGTTTTGATCCCATTGCTAATTTCAAAGAATAAAGAAATAAAAGTTATAATTTTGTAATACTGGAGAAAATACTTTTTCTCTCTCTCTTCTTTGTGTACACAAAATCAAATGAACAATCATCTGCAAATAAGTCTTTCCTAGATAGAAACTTCAAACCAAGAATTTTTTAAAAATCCAGTCCAGAGCATTTTGCAGAAGCCAGAAAGCATCTGAAAACCAAGGATTAGAAGCGGAGTGATCCAGTAACCTTTCCTTAGTCCATTTATAACAAAGCTTCTATGAATATAGTGACATAAACATGAAACATGTGCAGGAGGTCTGAGTGGTGTGTGTTGGACATGTCACAGGACCCTACAGCAGAAGTTCAAAGGCACAAGCAGTTATAATAAATGTGTGATAAAACGCAGAACAAATCCTGAGCAATGCTACTATACAGTCAGTGTGTGTCCTGAATTGATTGGTAGCACAGAGGATTTTTAAGATATAGATTAGAAAGATGCAAGTGTGTGTCAAAATATGTTCTTATTAATACAGAGGAAAGCAAAGCTATGAAATTATAAGAGAAATCGGTTCTTGCACACATATTACTATACAACCCCAAAGGATATTGGGCAGAATTAGCATATAAGTGATTTATAACAGGAGCGTTTTCAGGAAAAACTTGTAATTGTTTGTTATTGCTTCAATTCTACTTTTCCCAGCCACACAGTACTAAGAATTGCAGAGACACACCTCCCTATGAAGAAGGGAGTTGTTTAAAATCTCCTGTGACTCCTTTTTCTCCTACTTTGGATAACATAGATTCATTTTAGACTGATTTTTCTGCAGCTGAGGGCTGAACAGAGCCCTTTTTTTTGTCACAACCACTAAACAGTTTACTTAGATCCACACTGAAAGACTGTTGTGTTCAGAGGTTCAGACACTTCTGGCTGCTGGGATAAGGAGGGAAAGGTAATCTTGCAGAGAGATAGAGCTGATCAGGCCTTGCAGAGATAAAACAGTAAAATAAAGAGAGCTGGGACAAATGTCAAGGATGAAAGCAGCTCAGTACTGCAAAGGATGCATACCCAGTTATCTTCAGCTTCACAAAACCTTCCTTATCCTGAGGTTCTGTATGTCAGAACAGAGAATGTCTCCTTCCAGCCCTCCCCCTTGGAAAGCAAAATAAAGACACTTTTTACAAGGCATGGAAAGTGAACCTGATCCTCCTCATAATGTGAGTGTGGTCTGTGCAAGTGAAGAAGCAGCCTAAGATGAATTGTCTTTGGAGTATGACCGCTTCCACCTAAAACTGCAATCCCTTTTGGTGCATAAATTTAAGGTGCAGACTGGGACATCACTGGGGAACAAAGTGAATGAGTTATGGGAGGTAATAGAGACATGTGTTGTTAGGAATGTGCATGCCATTTTAATACTGCTGTTAATTGCCTCCTCTGACATACTGACAGGGAGGCACGATTTTTCAGTGCACTAATGAGAACATATCTGTTTGCTCTTAAATCATTATTCTGAAATACGATATGATTTAAACTTTTAACTTCTAAGGTTGGTCCTCCACACCATGCAGCTGCTCCTGACCCCAGTACGGTAATGGGGCACTTATGGGCTAATAAGTTTTGTTCAAAACTCCCAGTTTACTGTCTTCATCTTGCCTAAAAAGCAAAACTAGAGTGATTGTTGTTATAGCTCTAAATTTCACAATCTTCTGTCTTTTTGTGTATGTTCCT